AACATACCTAGGGTGCGCTGGTTGAATGTCCCCATTCCCCTTTGGGCCTTGCCAGTTGCTCAGCAGAGGCACAGGGGGTTACCATTGCCCAGGTGAGCCGTGGACCTGCTCTTTCAGCCCCTCAAGTCCCTTCTAGACTCAGGTTCCACAGGTGTCATGAGGGTGGCACCCAAGGGCCCATCTGGCTACAATTCATGCTTAGGTGGGCAGCAGGTGGCCCACAGGCCTCAGGGGATGGGGTCACTGCTCCCTGGTCACTGACTGCTCCCTTTGCAGTCCCTTTATCTGGTCGTCTGTGAGTGGCCTTCTTTCCTTGCTGGCCAGAGAGAGTCTGCACGTCCCTGACTTAGGCCACTTGTCTCCTGTAGGCCACTCTGTGCCGCAGTCCTACGGAGTGGAGGATCCCTCACTTCCATTTAAAAGATCAAATGTGCCTGCCTCTGCCTTCACAGGAGCCAGGCAGAACCCGGGCTGGGCTTTGGGGCCATGCGCCTGTGCTAAGACCCTGCTCAACCACCCCTTGCTGTGTGGCTCCAGCAGGCGCTCAGCCTCTCAGACTCAGCGGCTCCTTTTGAACAGGGGATGACGTCATCTTCTCAGGGCTTAGGGAGCAGGAAGCCGGAAGCAGGCATAGGCATGCTATCCAGTCTACTCAGAATGTGAAACCTAGTCCTTTCTATAGGCCCCAAGGTGCCTAGCCATGGCTGGGGTCTCCCTAAGGGAATCTTGCAGTGAATTCTCTAAGGCTGGGAAAGCCCACATGGGCTCCAGGCTGGTGCTGTCCGTGGCTGGCTCCCTGCATGGCCTCTCTGGCAGGACAGGAAATGGGCCCAGAGGCCTTCCAGCTAGTGCACTGGAGCAGAGGAGAGTGGGTCAGATGTCTGCAGGGCTGCCTGGCCACCACCCCCATCATAGCCTGGGGCACTGGGCCAGGGCTTGAAAGTGCTCTTGGAATGTCAGGACCCACCTTGACTCAGTGTCCCTTGGCAGTCTGAGAAGTGACTATCACACTCTCCACTCCCGGGTAGGTATGCTAGGATACAGCTGGATAATTCAAGCAATAATTGGGCTGGGTGTGGTGATACACACCTGCAATCCCAGCACTCAGGAGGCTGAGGCAGAAGGACTGCCGTGAATTTAAGGCCAGCCTGGGCTACAAAGTGACCTCAAGGCCAGCTTGAACTGTATAGTGAGACCCTGTCTCAAAAATCAAATGAGGGGGCCTGCCCCTTAGCTCAGTTCTTTAAGTGGCTGCTTCAACAAAGCAGTCAGGCTCAGATTGCTGTGGTTCGATCCCCACAACTCAAGCCAACCAAACCTGGCCTGAAGGCATTGGGAGAAAAAAAAAATCAAATGAATTAAAAAATTCTAATAGCATTGTGATCCACTGCAGTGTAAAGAGGAAACTAGCTATGTTAGAGACACCATACACTTTACAGACCCCAACCTTTCCTTTCTCCTAGAAAGATAGTCATAGTGAATGTAATAATAGTCCCAATTTCTTTTTCTCTTTTTGGTACTGGGAATGGAATTCAGAACCTTGCACTTGCCAGGAAGGCACTGTGGCACTGAGCTATATTCCCAGCACTAAAAGTCCCAATTCCTTAAACATACTGTTAAAAACCAAGACTATCTGGCTGCATGGCGATGAATAAGATCACTTTGTTCGTAGACACAAAACACATGGTCCTAGATGAGCTTATTCATTTCTGAAAAGATCATATTATCTCAGATCCTGGAGGTTGTAGGGAGGAGGCAGAAATGCTTTCCACCTTAATGAAACCTCCCATGGCCCAGGGCTGAGCAGGCAGCATCCAGCCAGCAGCTCTGGCCAGTGTGGGACTGTTTAGGCACTTATTTCTTTGTTTATTATTTATTGATTGATCAATTGAGTGTGCTAGAGACCAAACCCAGGACCTTTGCATTAAGCTACATCTCCAGCCCTTTTAATTTTTATTTTATTTTTTGTATTTTTAAGATAGAGTTTCACTAAATTTCCCAGACTAGGCTGGAATTTGTGCTCCTCCTGCCTCAGCCTCCCAGAATGCTGGGATTACAAGTGTTTGCTATCACACCTGCTGCAGTAATATTTTTAAATGAAAATAAAAATATGAAATAATGAAGCCTTTCCTTCAGGTTCTGGGGATAGTGACTGCAAAGTATGCTGAAGGGGGAAATCAGGACAGTGTTTCTGCTGTCCCCTCTGTGCCATGTGGGGCCCAGCCTGCTGGGATAGGAGCCAAGTCCCATTCAGAGCCAGGTCCTCAAGTGTGGCCCAGGCAGGTGGCTGCGCGAGTGGCTCCTGTGGGCTCATGGAAAGGATTCATTACTCAGCTGAGCATTGAGGTGGGATTCCTGCATCCCTGGGATCCTCCTCCCCCACAGAATCCCACTCTGTCTGCTCATAGGAGTCCACTGTGTGCACAACAAGGAACCTACAGTTTATCGGATTAAAGCAGGTGCAGGGCCCAGGGGTTCAATCCCCAGACCTGCTGTGCTGGCCCTGCCCCAGGGTGCGCTGACATGGCAATTGAGACTGAACGTGATAGCACATGCCTGTAGTCCCAACTCTTGGGAGGCTGTAAACAGGTGGATCACTATGAGTCTGATCTAGTAGTGAGACCCTGAACACCCTGTAGACCCTTCCCTAAAGTACAAAAAAAGAAAAAAAAATTCTTAGATTGGGCAGGATGGCACATGCCTGTAATCCCAGCACTTGAGAAGTTATAAACAGAGCAGGAGAATCACTGCAAGCCTAATCTAGTAGTGAAACCCTGAACACTCTGTAGACCCTTCCCTAAAAAAATACAGAAAAAAAAAAACCACCCCTGTTTGGGGGCTTGCTGGTTAGCCCAGCTGTTTAAGCACCTGCTCATGCAAATGCAGTCGGGAGCAGGATACCGAGGTTCGATACCCACCTCCACCTGTCTTAGCAGACCCACCCTTAAGGCAGCCTGAGCCAACCAAAAAAAAAAAAAAAAAAAAAAAAAAAAAAAAAAATTCCTTCTCATTTTTTTTTTTTTCCTTCTCAATTTTAGAGGTCCAGCCAAACAGTTCAGTGGATTACAGTGCCTGCAAGCAGGCGCAGGGGCTAGGAGTTTGATCCCTGGGCCATACTTGAGGACCTGGCTCTGAACGGGACTTGGCTCTTATCTCAGCAGGCTGGGCCCCCCGTGGCACAGAGGGGACAGAGATCTAGTAGTGAGACCCTGAACACCCTGTAGACTCTTCCCTAAAGTACAAACAACAAACAAACAAGAAAGGAACCCACAGTCTCTGTGGCTCCTCTGAGGGATGAAAGAGGACAAAGAGCTGCTGCAAAGGGTACCTGGGTTTGGGGGATGAAGACTGAACTGACCTCCAGGAGAACTGCAGTCTTGCTCCTGCGTGGACAGAACAAGGCCAGGGAGAGGACAGGTGCTAGGAGGGGCACTGCCAGTGGGGAGAGAGAGAGGGTGTGACTCCCACATAGGACTGACACAGGTCCTCTGGTAGGATTCCTGAACCAGGAACAGAAAACAGGGTGCCCGGCTCCCCTAGGGTCAGCTCCTGGGCCGCCTGCACTGTCCCTGAAACCTATATCATTCCTTATTTCCTTCCACTCGCTCCTGAAGCAAATTCAGACACTCCCTGTATCTTCCTGTTGACACTGCCTTTGCCAAAACATATGGAAGTGGCACAGATTCCAGGCCAGAGGTGTTGCTAGTTTAGTTTGTGACAAGACTCTAACTATGCCCGTGGGTGAGCAACCTTGGAAACACGACTCTGGAGGAATGAGACCGGTCCCGCCAGTAGCACAGGGCACTGCCTGGTCCCCGCCCACAGCACAGCCAGCACACACACACACACAGGACCAGGTGGGCGTGGCCTGGGACTGCTGGTGACCCAGGAGGAATCAAATTGTTTCACTGCCCAGATCTGGCTATACATCAGAAAATGTATAGATTTTCCCCTAAACCTTTTCTTCTGTTCCACTGAAAATAACAAGAGATATAACCAGAGAGGAGAGTAGGTGCCCCCTCCCCACGGGGGTTAGGGGAGCTGGTGTGCACTAAGGCAGAGGTGCTAGAAGTCATCACAGGCAGGAGTGGGGGTGGGGAGGGAGGGCTGCTTACCTAGCAGCCGCATGGGCAGCTGCCTCCTCCTCCTCCAGAAAGCCAGCTGCTGGGTCTGGGCTAGAACTCCACTAACAGGACGCTCAGGGTGGAGGCTGGACACCCCGCCTAAGTTGGAGGTCAGATTCCAAAAACGCAGCTCAAAGGATGCGAAGCTGCTCATCTCCTGCTAGGCCCCTCTTAGACCTGGGAAACCTGCCTCCAGCACTTCTGAGGCCAGGCTGCTCCTAAAGATAGTTCCTGCACACCTGCGCGACGACACACTGTATGCCTCCCACTCATGTCACATGCACAAAACCACACACACACACACCAGAGCATACACATTCGCCACACTCAGCACATCACAAGTGTGAACAGCCGCACACGTCTAACTGTATGTATCACAGCATACCGCACACATCACACACACCCCACGTCATGCCGCCAACAACACACCCACCCATGCCGAAGCCCTGGGGCCTCTGATCTCCTTCAAGATCTACGCGTTCCCAAAGGCCAGGCCGGCTGGGGACCCCAGGGTCGTCGATCAGTCTCAAGGTACTTTGGAGAGGACCTGCTCCAGCCGGCTCCATAGGGAAATGGTGATTCCCAGGAACAGCCTTTCCCAGTGCCTCGCTCACACACGCGCTCAACCCGCGCAAGCGCACCTAGTAGCCGCTGGGGTCGCGTGCCGGGGGTGTCGTCGCAAAGAGGGACGGACACTCGCGCTCGCCCCGCGGAGGGGAGGTCTCCGGAGGATTGGGGCGAGCGACGCGGGGTGCGGTCTCGGGGCCTTTAAGGGACCGTGAGGCGGTCCCAACAAGCCGGCCACGCCCATCTAGCAGAAGCCACGCCCCCGGTCCCCTCCCAGGCCACTGCGGCCGGCCAGGGCTGGAGGAAGCGGCCGCCGCCGCCCCAGACGCGGTCCCTGCTTGGCCGCACCACCCACTGCTGCCGCGCTCCGCACACGCCGTGGGCCGTGGCCTCGTCCGGCGCGGGGCCGGGGATGCGCCTGCACCATGGCCCTGCTGGGCTGGTGGCTCGGCACGGCGCAGTGGCTTGCGCTGGTGTCGCTTTTCGTCGCTGCGCTGGCCACCGTGGGCCTGTACCTGGCGCAGTGGGCGCGGGTCGGGGCGCGACCCTCGCGCGTACTCCAGGCCGAGGGGGCCGTGGGGCGGCAGCCGGACGCGCTGCTGTCGTGGATGCTGACGCTGGATGGCTGGAGGACGCAGTGGTGGGCTGCCTGGGTGGCCGCCCTGAACGCTGAGGCCGCGAGGACCCGGGTGAGTGTCGGGGGCGGGACCCAAGCGCCCAGCCGGGCAGCGCCGCGAAAGTTAGGAGGATGGGACAGCGCGAGTTATCCCGCTGCATGGGGTGCTGGGCTGGCTGTGGCAGCCCTTCCAGCTCATGTCCATCTGCCCCTGCCCTGGCCCTAACCCTGACCCTAAACCGACCGTGACCTCCCTTTCTGAGACCAAGGTGGACTCCAGTATCCAGTGGGACACTGATCTTGCACCTCATAGATGGATAGCTGACCCAAATACATTTCTATCGCTAATCTAGTTGAACTTTGCCAAGAATGTATTTCCAAAAGGCTCAAATTTCTGGACCCAGGAAAACAGCTTTTGTAATTGGCCAGCTGCTTGCTGGACCTTGTTGTGGGCGCTCTCAGAGGTCTGTCACCTCTGAGTCAGTGCTGTTCCCTACTCGCAGGTGTCCTGGCTACTCCCACAGGCCCAGGCTGGGAGCTGCTCAGGTCACACACCCATAGTGGCAGCCAGATGTGGCCTCAGTTGTCTCAGATTGGACTCAGGAACTTATTACTCAACTCAGCCACCTCACACTCCTGTGGCTGCCTGCTTCTGTTGTCATTAATTACTTCGTGACTTGTTTTTTCTTTAAAAGCATCCTTGTTTAATGACAAGCTCCTGGCTGTAGTGGTTGCTATCTGGAAGCTTGTCATGGGGGAATTAGGAGTCGTGAGCTTGGGGAAGCCCTGCCTAGCATGGGTCACCCCTTGTTTCAGGTGTGTGTGTGTGTGTGTGTGTGTGTGTGTGTGTGTGTGTTCTTTCATCTGCTTGTGCAACTGGGGATCAGCCCATGGCTCCTGGCCTTGGAAACTTTGAACACTGCCGTGTATGAACCCAGAAACCTTCAAACTATTCCACAGCAGCCCTGAGCCTGGCCTTTGTCCTGTTGCCTCAGCACACATGGCTGTGAAGTTAGAAAACCCAAGCCCCTGACTGTAAATTAGCATGGATCCAACAGTTCAAATTCATGTTCAGAGCCCTTGGAAAAAAATAACTGTAGTACCAGATTAAAGAAGACTGAAAGGTCAGGCAGTTTGTGTCTGTCTGGTGCCTGGAATGGCAGCCCCAGCAGCTGGATGTCCACCCCAGGCCACTCCAGAGCCCCAGGTTTTCACCTGGGTGCAGGCACAGATTTGTTTCCCCGGAAGCTGCTGGCATGCAGCTTGGGCTGAACTATGCAGCGGCCTGAGCTGAGGCAGGTCTTGTCCCCATTTTCTGAAGGTTTTTAGCAGCTGTTGAGTTTCAGTGATCTAGAGGACCCCGGCCCAGGCTCTGACCTGAGTTTCAAGCCCGGAGGCAGTGACTTGGGGAGGGTCTGTTTCATTGCCAGTCAGGTCTCACTGGCTTGCTGAAAGCTGGCTGCTGACCCAAGCCAGAAGGCCTCAGGTTCTTTGTGCCTGCAGGGCCCGCAGGGAGGGAATCCTGCTCTGGCCTTGCTTCTGGCTTGGCTGAAGCTTAGAATCCCAAGGAATTTGAGGGTTTGGGAGGAAAACCTTTCACTTGCATCTTTGTAGAACAGGGCTTCTGTGTTCAGGGAGAAGGAGATTTGGCTTGAGCATCTCTGTGGCTGGGCACACATACTTGTCTTAACATCAGTTTTTCCAAATTTCCTGGCTGGAAGCAGCAGTAATGCTCTAGAGTCAAGCTCAGAACAACCTAGAATCTCCTTTTTCGAGACAGGGTCTCCGATGTAGTTCAGGCTAGCCTCAAACTCACTACACAGCCCATGCTGCCCTCTAATTCTCAGCAATTCTCCTGCCTCAGCCTTCCGGGTGCTGGGGTGAGAGGCATGCAACACTACAGCTGACGTCTATGGCATTTTTCCATGGCAGTAGGTCTGTTGTGGGGCATGGTTTGGTGTGCCATTGCTGTACTTCCCCAGCCTGGGAGTGTGGCCTGATTTGGATGGAAATGGAGGGTTCTGCAGGCAGATAGGATCTGGTAGTGCTGTGCCACCCTCCCGGCAGGCAAGCAGGCAGTTGGCATGGTGAGCAGGTCCTAGTGGATGCCCTGACCCCAGTACCCACGCCTGCCCACAGGAGTTTCTCTTCCCCTCCCTGTCCAGCCCACTAATCCCCGATTAGGGCTCACACTCCCAGCCTGCTCTCGGCTCAGAGAGCTACAGCTTACTAGCCTCCCTGCCCCCTGTCTGTCCTGGTCCTCTACCTGTGCTGGTGTCACTTGGCACTAAGGCAAATGAGCTCAGCTCCCAGTCTGACCCTGGTGGAAGGACACTGATGACAACATGGTTGCCCCGTCCCCCGTCTCCTATGCAAGGTAGGGTTTTGTAGGCAGTGGAGACAGTAATGCCTCCCAGTCTAAGTTTTACCTCAGCTTTCTGTTTGAGATAGAGAGGAACCCCCCACATTTGTCTAGCCAAGCTCCTGAGTCTTGCTGAGGTCAGCTGGGGTGTCTTCCCAGCCTGTTCATGCCCACAGTCATCCTCCCCGTGGGAAGCAAATTTGACTCTGAGACCTAAGTGTTTCCTTTGAATGAGGTCCAACAAGAAGGGCTGAAGGGTTTGCTGTTGAACAGCATGTCCTCAGCAGTGGCTCCCAGATCTCCTGGGATCTGCGGGTGGAGCAGTAACCGATGGCTTCTGCCTGCCCTGATGACCAGTGACTGGAGCTATGCAGGTTGACCATGTCCAAGGGGACTCTGGGCTCCAACTCACCCTGGAAATAGTTTTAAATAAAAAATCAGGAACTGCGACACTGCCAGGGGCTCTTCTAATATGTCCACATGTTACCAGAGATCTAGACACACATGTGCCCCTGTCAGCCAAAGCCACACTCAAAGTGTATGATGTTCAAGAGTGTAGACATCCGCTGAGTGGCCTAGGGCACCCCTAGGAGTATGAAGCCAGAGTCCACATCCCAGAAGCTCCTGGAGGCCCCTGGTCACCCTTCCCATGGCCTGGCCAGCTCGGACCAGCTGGCCCCTACTTCCTGAGGCCTTGCACCACATGTCAGCAGCAGCACTGGTCCCAGAGCAAGGGTCCTGTGCTACCTCCAGGGCTGTGGCTTCTTAGCTTGTGCCCTTACCCAGCCCCCAGTGGCAGGGGACCTGCACCAGGTGAGCCCAACAGCTGCTCTGCTGTCTTTAGTCTTTCAGCCCAGGATTTCTTCAGAGGAATGTTCTAAGGTGCACACCTCTCATTCCAGCACTCAGGGAGCCTGAGGCAGGAGGATCATCCCAAATTTAAGACCAGTCTGGGCTCTATAGTGAGTTCAAAGCCGATGAACTATCAGATGACTTGTGTTCTAAGTGAGAAAAAGATGGTGTGTGGGCCTAGCATGTATGAGGAATGGTGCTGGCTTGTGTCTGAGTTTGGGAAACTTATAGTCACAGCATGGCTAAGGGCTGTGAGTCTTTCTGTCCCATACCAACCTCCCAGTGGTGCTTACAAAAATCTGATCTGGATGATCGAGCAGCTGCTGTGGCCTTGGCAGAGGAAGTGCTCCAGGAGGGCACTGCTGGCTCGGATGGCTGAGCCTGGGGCTGCCCTCCCAGTGCTCCTGGAAGGGCAGTGGGCCTTGGGGGTCTGCCATCTCCACCCCACGGAGGTCCCCTGCAAGGATCTCCCTTTCTGTGGCTCACACATTCAGGCTCTTTCCAAAACAGGACTGTTCCCTGAGTCACTCCTTAAGTCCTTGGAGTGCTTATCTTTTTCTCCTTATCTAACTTTTTTTAGTCTTGGAGGTCTCAGCTCAGAGGTGCCAGGTCCTCCTGTCTTTCCAGCCTATACCTGTCCTGCATATTGTCCTCATGGAGCTGGACCATGCACAGCTTCAGCAGGCCCTGTCATTGGGCCAACAGAGGGGACAAACAGTGGTTGTACATCTCTCTCCTCCTGGACATGGCCTCCTGCTTGGGGTCTGGCCCAGCCTGGGCAGGGTGAGCTGTTTGCGCACTTTGTCTTGAACTTGTGGAGAATGAGCTTTAGGGAGCTGGCAATGACTGCGCAGAGTCAGCATAAAGCCAGGGAGTGGCCACCTCGGTCTGGTCCGTCGCTGTCATCCTGTTCTCAGGGAGGCAGGAATCCAGGAAAGGGCAGGTGTGGGGTCGCCACCAACCAGGATCCAGCCACAGGCAGCCCTGCAGAGGTCCCTGAGGAGGGAGGGGTGGCCTCATTGTGTGAAGGAGGTGGGCGAGGCCATCCTGCGTCCACAGCATGCAGGATCTGAGTTCCAGCCCTGCCCTTGACTGGCTGTGTGACCTTCGGCAAGTCCTGACTTCCCTGCGTACCACCTGCAGCCTGGACTAAACGGGTCCAGAGATGACCTATGCCCCCAGAGCAGAGGCAAGCTCCAAGAGTGGTATCTAGGAAAACGTCTGTGTGTCTCGTGTCCACAGGGTGGGGTACACTGGAGAGTCTCCTTTTAAAACTTTACTTTGAGCTGCTTTTTGATTTGCAGAGTGAAGAGATAATTCAGAGGGGTTCCTTGTATTCCTCAGCCAGCCTTCCATAACAATTCACTAATCAGAATCAATACCCTGGAGTCTGAGGCAGGAGGATCGCTAACAGTTCAAGGACAGACTGGTCTACATAGCAAGACCCAACACCAAGCCCAGGGAGGGACATTCAGCAAAATGACACCATACCCAGGACCATCAAGGCCATAGAAAAGAAGGAAACCCTGAGGAATCACTGCCAGCTCGGGGCTCTGAGAAGACTAGGAGAGGTTTTTAGTTTTAGTTACTGAAGGTGTTGACATAACGTTAACTTCCTGTGCTGTTACTATGTTCATTCCACTGGGTTCTGGATTATAGTAACATTGTCCCAAGGTTAGCCTCTTATGCGGTTACAGTGTTTATTTCCCTCGGTCCTGAAGTTTAGTAACATATCAATACTAATTTTTGGTTGGGTTCTTTTTTGTTTGGCTGGTTGGTTTTATTTAAGACAAGGTCTTGCTACTAGGTTGTGCAGGCCCTCGAAAGCTGCCCCAGCCATCCTCCCACCAGGGCTCCAGAAGTTTCTGGTTGGGAGGATTTCCATCTTCTCTGCCAGGGAGGCTCCCCCACACTGCCTGTACCTGGATTTAGTCTGTTCTGGGTGTTCTGTGTGTTCATGTGTTGCCAGAAACTACACAGTTTACGATGCAGAGGCTCTGGGGTGGGGTTCACCATCAGGATGGGGGCAGCCCCCTTTCTGTCTCCCCTCACCTGTACTGCTGGGAAATTCCTGAAAGTGTCTGCATCTTTCTGGCTGGGGAGCTGAAGAAGAGGCCCTGCTGGGGTCAGGCAGACTGGATGGGGGTGGGGTGGGAGTGCAACGTCCTTGTCCTGAAATTATCCTCATAATTTTCTTCTTTTCTGAGTACGACCCTAGACACCAAATTTCTCAGCAGCATCTTCAGGGTTTGAACTTGGGTGGCAAGGCAGGTGGGAGGCTCTGCCCTGCCTCCCATGCTTTGCAAGACTGCACTTGCATCCACAAGGCTCTGGGTGTCCAGGTGGCAGAGAAAGTGTCCTGTGCTGCTTGCTCTAGGCCAACAAGGGATGGCACCTGCAGATAGTGCCCACCTAACCTGGTGGGTCCACTCACAGACAAGCATCGCCAGCAAGCTCGTGGCCATGTCCCCTCCCAAGCCAGCCCCAGCCAGCTGCAGCCTGACTGCGTCCAGAAAGATGTAGGTGTTACTGTTCCTGCTGCCTTCCAGGGAGGAGGTAGATGTTGCTAAAACAAGGTGGGGCTAGAAGTGAGTAAATCAAAATGCTACTGCAGAGATCTGTTCCTGGGTGTCAGGAGGCCCTAAGAAGCAGGGAGGGTGGCGGCCCGCTGCACCTCCTCTCTGTCCTGAGGGCCAGCCTCAGAGCTGGCATCAGAGCTGGACTCATGGTCCATCAGTGTGAGTCTGAGAAGAGAGGGGCACTCTGGACTGGGTTTTCAGCCACATGTTCAGAGCTCCCCAGAAGCCTGTGGGCTTGCTGCTGAGGTCAGGACGGGCTGGAGTAGGCCTTCTGGTCCCAGGCCTCATTGTTGGAGTGCACCTGGGGCCTCTTAAAGAGCTCATTTTTAAAAGGTCAAGGCTTGGTCACCCTTCCAAGCCCTCTTTGACTCCTCTGGATGGCAGCTGTCTTTGTGCCATGTAGCCACATTCATTTCTTCCCATATCACATGGAAATTTTTTAAAATTTCCGGATCCAAAAGAGACCTAAACTAACTTAAATCCTGGTGGGCTGTGGAGAGTGCTTAGGGGAGAAGCAGAGGAAACTCAGAAGCCGAGGGCAGCCCTGGAGGCTGTGAGGCAGAGCTCAAGGATGCAGTCATCCGGCTGGCTCCTTCTCAGCCCAGATTCCTCGGAGAAGCCACCCTGGGTTCTCGCCTACCCATCACTCAGGCTGTGGGCGAGGAGAGAGGGCCACCTGGAAAGATGGGCACAGCCACTTCCTGGGGTGGGCAGAGAACTGCCACCAGACAGGGGAGGACCCAGTGGCAGGCTGGTGCTCCCCAGACCCTCAGAGGTGCAGGACCAAGCTGGACTGCTCCAGTGGCCCCAGGTCCTTCCTTCTGCTATAGCCCTCAGCACTGGCCATATCCTTTGCTGGTTTTATTGCTTTATTTTTTTGTTGTTGCTTTATTTTGCTTTGAAACAAGGTCTCACTGTGTAGCCCAGGCTGGACTTGAAACAGTGATCTTCCTGCGTCAACCTCCTGAGTGCTGGGGCCACAGGTGTGCACCACTGCCCCCAGCTTCCCTCGCTCCCTCCATTGTACCATCTTGGGCTTTGCTCTGGCTTTTGCTCCTCTCCCGTCCTTCTCCCCCACATAGCACCAAGCCGGATGGGATCCATTGGCAGCAGCTCCTGGGGGTGCGAGCTGTGGACAGAGCCATCTCCAGGGTGTCTTACACCATGGGGTGATCAGAATTGATTGTGACTCCGATTTCAAAACTGTAAGAGACACATTGCGAAGAATCCCCTCAGAACCCTCTCCTCACTTCACACATACTCATCCCATCATCCTGGCCATTTCCTGTGGCAGCTCTGGAGTCCTCTTTCCTGACGGTCTTTACCAGGTGTGATCAGTACTAAAGTGACTGCCACCGCCAGTGCCACCCAACGGAAAGGCAGCTCATAAGAATACAATGCTGTGTCCTCATCCAACGAAGTCCTGTGACTTCCAGCTCCTCCCCAAAATCAAAATGACCATGGAAGAGAAACATTTTGAATGGACTCAGGTTGTGAAGGCAGCTAGGACAGTGCAGCTAAAACACTCAGGAAAGAGGATGCCAGAGCTGCTGCAGGAAGGGCAAGGACGGGGGGTGGGGGGTGGAACGAGTGTATTGGGAGTGGGGCAGGGTTCTGAGACAGGCTCGTGGCAGTGCATCTGTAACTTACAAAAATTTTTTTTTGTTGGTTTTTTTTTTTTGTTTTTTTTTTGTTTTTGCGGAACCGGGGATTGAACTCAGATCCTTGTGTTTGCCAGTCAAGCGCTTATCCTACTGAGCCATCTCCCCGGCCCCTTAAAATTTTAAAATTTTATGCATTCATTGTAGTTTTAATTTATACCTTGCATTTTGTGAATTTTGTCAAGCTTTCTAGAAAACGTGATTATTAAAAAAAAAAAAAAAAAAAAGCGCTGCAGCCGGTGTGCCCTGCCTCATGCTGCCTCTCTCTTGCAGGGCCCGCTGTGCCTCTCCTTCCAACAGGACCCGCAGCCAAAGCCCCTGGAGCTGGCAGTCTCAGAAGTGTCCAGCATGGCCAAATCAGCCCAGGAGAAGGTAAGCAGGTACTCTCTAGTGGCCTTTCCCTGCAGGACAAAGTGAATTGAAAGCTGAGACTGGGAAGTGCCACTTGTTTTAGAATTATTGACATTGCAGAACTCTTATGCCACTAAAAACTGAAAAAGCCTGAGCTGTTGTCCCAGCACTCTGGGAGGCGGAGGCAAGAAGATCACAATATGAGCCTAGCTTAGGTGACTTAGGGACCTAGCAAAGATTCTATCTCAAAAATTAAAAAAAAAATAATTTTAAAAAAAGGACTGGAGATGTAGTGCAGCATGAAGCCCCTGGGTTCAATCCCCAGTACCAAGTTAATAAATAATAATGATAATAACAATAATAATAAAAATTCTGGTGCATCATGGATGAGTATATACAAGGCCTGCTGTCCTTGTAAGTACATATTATTCAGCCTTACAAAGGAAGACATCCTGATGTGGGCCACCACACAGGGAGACACATGCTGAGCAAGAGAAACCCTGAGTCATCCAGAACAGAGTCGGTGGGTGAGAGGTCATGGAGGCTGGGCCTGCAGTGGTGATGGTGAGGGGTGCCCCAGAGGACGATCCTCAGAGGCACTGCTGCACGCTGTGTACATGGCTGGTATCTGGAAAGGCCGCTGCGGGCACCTATAGTCTGCACGTGAGGTCCGTCCTGGGGCTGAGCTGCCCCCTCGGCCTGGCCAGAGCCTGGATCCTGAGCAAGCTTCTGCCTCCAGTCCTGGGAAGCTTTTTCCAAGCTTGGTCCTTAGTGCCTGGCTGGTGTGTTAGGCTGCCATGTGTGTTTGTTAGAATAGCGCTGCCGTCTCTGACCCAGCCCACTGCATGTTTTGCTAGTATGAAGAATGGCTTATTTGCTACATAGTCAGCAGGACTCCTGCCTCCAGGGACCTCCCATGCTGGATGCATGTCACCCCTATAGCCACTCAGGGCATAGGACATGTGCTTTGCGTTGCAGTTAGGCACAAGTTGGTACTTTGGATTCAGAACTTTGGGTTGTGGGCTCCCCCACTGTACAGAGAGAACAGGTTTTACTTAACGATCCACAAGATTGCTCTATCCTCCTCTATCCTTCCCCTTTCTGCCTGTTATTGTTTTGTTTGGGACAGAGTCTCTGTGTAGTTCTGCCTGACCTTGAACCCACTAAGCACCCCAGGTTGGCCGCACCTGTAGCTTGCAGTGCTCCTCCTGCCTCAGCCTCCCAAGCGCCATCCCGCCTTCTGGACCTGGGTTGCTCTTCCTTCATCCTCCTCCTTGTGTGTTGCTTTACCTGTGTAGGTAATATCTGTAGATCTGGGTTTCATGTTTGAGTTAGTCTCATGTGGCCCGTTTGGTGGACCAGGAGGCGGGACAGCAGGTGCCCTGGGGGAGCAGGAGGAGTGCAGTCAGCCCCCCTCCTATTGCATCCTTGTGGCCTGGACCCTTGTGATTCTAGCAGTTTGATAATTTTTTTTTAAATTTTATTTATTTATTTATTTAT